CATATACGGCAGACTGCTGTATCCGTGGGGATCGGTTCCAAGTCTCACCGCGGATGCCGAAAACCACGGATAACGGTGAACTCTGTGTGCAGCATGGTGCCCTCTACTGGCACGTTCTGGTAATTATAGCATTGAAATACACATAAAATATGCATTTTTGAGTTTTTCTCATTTAATGTTTTCAGGCAGCAGAGAAGTGAAACTGTGGATACTGATCCCGCAGATAGGGAGGTCCTACAATATTTTAAGGTTCAAAACAATAATGTTCTGCTCTGAAGCCTTCCTCGCTAAACACCCAAAGTACCAAAAATAATAATAATATCAAGCAGCTGGGAGTGAGGTGGGTCGTCTCCCAAGATGGTAAAACCACATTTCCACGCAGTGATTTTAGTGCAGCTGATCCTTTGAGAACACAAATGCACAGCACCACCAAGAAAAAACAGACGCCTGCCTCAGGGAGCGAGTGCAAAACCCGAGGTCTCCCATTCCAGGTCATTTTTCTATACAGGTTTTCCGGATTCCTCTGACAACTTCTCTATTCCAAACTGCCAAGCCAAAAAAAACCGTTTTAAAATTTATTTATTTAAAATTATCCAATAAATATTCTCTAAAAAGGACCACCAATGTTAAACTGAATGCACAACTCAGATGGAGGAACCGGATTTTTAAATATCCTATTCTGAAATTGGGTGTCCGGGCTTTTCTGATTTCCGGAGCTAATTAAAAGCAAACGAAGGGGCGGCTTCAGAGAAGAAGGTTTCGAAGGCAGACAAACTCAAAATAAAAATAGTTTAAAAGAATTTTTTTTTTCTAAGGCCTTTGATTTCTTCCGGTTTAAAAAAAGTTTTTTTAAAGGCCCTTGATTTCTTCCGGATCTGATGGGAGGATGATCCTGACACCTACCCATCGTCTCCCGCTCAGATCGATTCGGTTTTCAAACTGGTCCATGAGCCTCTTAGTGGACTACGAGGGTCCTCATCCACTGCACGCCGGCTGGAAACAGACTTGGGTCTAAAGCCGAAAACTTAAAAAGCAGTTGCTACAAATGGAAAAATACACACACATCATAATACACTTAAATACATAAATAACACTGTGCAATGGACGATGCGCGACCCCCCACCCCACCCCACGTACGCTTCGAGGAGGCCGACGCAACCTTCATTTAGTCCTCGGAGAGAGAGAGAAAGAAAAAAAAAACAGATCCTCGCTGCAACAGGCGGGGAAAAAGACGCCAAAGCAGGCACTGCTTGCGTCGTTTTTCAGGGCACGCTGGTAACGGGGGACCTTCGCCATGTCTGCGTCCACACAAGCCCCCGACGTACAGGAAGCGCAGGGCAGGGGGTGCACCCCAAGGGCGTGTCCGGAGGATCCTCCAGAAAATCACGCCTCGGGTTCTGTGGGTGGCCGCAAACCGGCCAAATGTTTTGGAGACTCCAGAAAAGGCCACCAACGGTCCACGGGTCTAGCCACTCTGTACGTTCCCACGCCCCCCCAGCGTCCAGCAGGATTAAAGAGCTGGTGACGGAGGCAGCCCCCAAGGAACCGGCCGGGCTCCGGAGAGATGCAAGGCGGCCCCGACTGCAGGGGAACCGACAGGCGGACCCCGCTTCCCACTTTTCTGCGCTCGCCGAATCAGCCCCGCTTTCCACGCGATCTTTGCCGGCAGCTGTTCTCGGTGGCCCTTCTTCACAAACCATTTTCCACGCGGCTTCTCCGAAGGCCGGACCCCCTGGCTCTCCAGTGCCAGGGAGGTCAGCGCAGGCTACGATGCCGAAGGCTCTACATATTATTCAAGCCCCTCCCCAAAAAACCCTTCTAACCAACCGAGGGTGGTACCAGCGATATCTTGTTCAGAGCGGGCAAAAACTTAACGCTTCTGCATTAAAAAGAAATGAATGCGATTCTTTCCAAGCCCTGCCGTTCCTTCCTCTAATCGCTTTCTATCCTTGGGGCAGATCGCCGAAGAGGTCTCACGCCTTCGGTATTAAGAGCCAGACCGTGCGCTAAACTTGCAAAATCCTGCCTGCGGGTGGAAGTCATGTTCTTTTTGCTGAACCCTTGGCCCAAGGATCATCTGGAAATCTGAACGGTTTAGCTACCGAACCACGTCTGGGCGATGGGACAGTGTGGGAGGGCCTGTGGAAAGACCCAGCAGCCCACTCAGAGGAAGTAGTGACTGCGGGAGAGGTGTTGGCCGGGAAAGACCCTGCAGCCCACTCAGCGGAAGTAGTGACTGCGGGAGAGGTGTTGGTGGGGCGGAAGCAGCTCAAAGTGTGGGGTTCCCCAAATCTCTTCACCCACACACCCCCCATCGCCGGCTCATCCTGGTTCCTCTACTTACGGCTTGGTCAGCTCATAATTCAGCTGCCGCTGCAAAGCCGGGTGTAGGTAAAACGGCTACAAAACGTCAGCCCAACTCTGGAGAGGAAAGAGCAGGACCGTTGTTTTTAGGGACCGAGACGGGCTACACCTGATCTCCATAGGCTTCGGCGGTGCTGCCCGGCGCAGGGTTTGAGATGCAGAAAAATCCGAAATTCCGCATACGGCTACAAAACGTTGGCCCAACTCTGGAGAGGAAAGAGCAGGCTGTTGTTTTTAGGCAACTGGGACCAAGACAGGCTACACCTGATCTCCATAGGCTTCGGCGGTGCTGCCCGGCGCAGGGTTTGAGATGCAGAAAAATCCGAAATTCCGCATTTCGAGGTTTGCCGTTAGCAGGGAGCATCTTGGCTGAGGGGCGATGTTGCAACGAGCAAACCCGACACAGACTGGGGCCTCCTCCAAGAACTGTGGTTGGCGCCGGAGAACCTTGCCTTGAACACGTGTGCCACGCAGGCCACGGCACCTGCTTCCTCCCCTCTCGGCATGCCGCCAGGGACCCCTCGTCACTCTGCCTGACCTGCAGGTTGGCTGCAGGTTGGACGCGTCCTGGTTCGCACAGCCGAAGCGCCCTTCTGACCCTGGTCTGGAAAAAAACCTCTGCCCTCGTGGATTTCGGAGAGCGTCCTTGTCACCAAGGTGGGTGGGACAGAGGAGAGAGAGGTTCGGGGGTTGCCAAGAATCACGGCTGCTTCTGTTTGTTCGGGGAGACTGTTTCTCACATACTTAAAACTGGATCTTTAACCCACGCCTGCCAACAAAGCAGAAGCCTTAAAAGTCTTTCTGAGAAGGAGGAAGGAGACAAGCCTTCGTTGGGAGGTCCAAGTTCCCCTGACTCGACCTTCAGCAGGCGCCTCTCCCGCCCCAGAGTTCTGTGTAGCTTGAAGACCTGCAGCATTTTCACCCTGGTTTGGTCTGAATTGGTCCGATACCACCAACCTTGTCATCTGGAAGCATTGCGGGTTTTAACCATCCGTGGCTAAAGTCGCAGCGCTTGACGTTGCTCTCGGCCGAAGAGTCCAGATGAACCGGGTCCGACCCTATCTCCCCCTCCACCCCAGATTTGATACCCGAAAAAGGTACAACTCTGCAATTGATAACGATTACACGAAGAAGTACAACGTTGACTCACTCTGCACCCACAGTCTGGTGCCAAACCAAGGAGACGACGCCTCTCCATCCCCGTGACCATCCATTCCGGCCGTCCTGGTGCTGTTTGGGCTTTTGCCGAATGTTGGGCGCTTGCTAGGAAGCATGTCCAGCCTCCTACGAGGGCAAAACTCAGCTGCCATGAGCCCAGGACAGCGGGAACGCCGACTAAAAGCTCAGCCTGGATTCCCAAACACCAAACACCTCCTCCTTCCAAGCTGCCCGCAGGAATCCGACGTGCTGAAAAAGCGGAGAGCTGTCCTTTGCTCATGACTGTCCTTTCACTCAACGGCGGAGGGGGGACGAAATGGGTGCAAAACATCTGCCCTGGCATCCCCGGTCTAGTCTAAAGAGATGATATCCGGCCGGCAGCCCGGCAGCCCCGGGTTGCTGCTCATGGCGCCCCCGTGCGTGTGGCTCTCCCGCAAGGTCGCCGGGGGGGAAGACACCACGCCGTTGACGCGGCTGCTGGTCGGGGAGCCGACGGTGCCATGGGAGGCTGCCGCCGCCACTACCACCGGCGCGAGGGGGTTCATGAAGTGCGGGGAGGTGCCCCGATACTGGAAGAAGTGGCTGAGTGTGTCTTGCTCCTCCAGGGAGGTGATGACGGAGGGGCTGTAATGCTGCGGAGGGGGGAAAGGAAGGGGAAGAAAAGAGAAAGAAAAAGGGTCCCCGCCGTCAGTCTTTTCCTCCAAAGGCAGGACGCAGACATGCGATGGAAGGGGAAAGCCCGACCGAGGCTGCCTGAAAAACACAGTGGTGCTGGCCACAGG